ACAAAATATAAATCTATAACTCTATGTTATATTTACATAATTATTTCTTTTATTAAATTTCAAGTGAGATGGTAGGTTGCACATACTTTGTTTTAAGCTCCAGGCATTTGATTGTCTCTATTTTCTTTTCTATTTTTCTTTTCACTTGTAAAATCCAAAATGTTAGAAGGGGTAGGAAGAGCTTTAGAGCCAATGGAGCTATATAAATACTGTTTCAGCAAACCAGTGACAAAAAACACTGGGGAGTAGAGAAATCAGTCAGTAGAAAAAACAAACTTGACATGTTCTTCAATCTGGGAAACTGACAAGTTAAGATAAAGTTGAAGAAAATGTAAATATAAACCAAACTAAACATCCATCCCATGCCCTGTGAGTTGAGGATACACTTACATTTCCTTGAAGATAGGATTCTATGTAATTCATTAGATGTGGATCCATCAAGTTGTGTGGGCCGACAAAAATATTTCATTAGATGTGGATCCATCAAGTTGTGTGGGCCAACAAAAATATTTCATATTTGATAAACCATGCCCTTAAAGATATATTATGAAGTTGCCATTAATTCTAGCAGTTGAATTTTTGGTAAGTGTGGGTCTACGTTTGCTCTGTGTGTAATTATTTTTGATGCTATAAACGTGATGTCAGAGTCTTCTTCAGCGACAATAACAGCTCATCTCTTTGGATTAAAAAAGAAAAAGCTTTGAAAATGTGCTGTAAAAAGGTTAAGGACAATTTACTTAAAAAAATGATTTAATTAAAGAGTCTACTGCAAAAACCAAATCTTTCAAATAATGTCTCTGCAGAAAAAATTTCTTCCACATGAATTTGTAATGAGAGGATTTGGTTACAAAACTAATTAAATTCTATAATAGTAGCTAGTGTTCTTTTCTGGGGGCCTGATTAATATAGCAGAAGGGTTAAATAAAGATGCTAAATGCACTTAAAAATCCTATTTTCTTAATATAAGGCATGAATTAATTCAGAGGAATTGTGTATTATTTCATTGAGCTTACCGGTCAGAGTCCCTCCATTTTTTTTCTTTTGACCCTCTTTCCCCCACTTCCAAGAAGTTTGTGTCACATTGGAGTAAGAAACTTCCCTGATTTAAGAGGAAACAAAATGCGTGGCCAAAAGTTCTAAGATGATGATGATGATCATCATCATCATTATCCAGATTTCCAGGAAAGAAGCGAGCTAGGCCCACACAGAGGCTAGGCTTTTTGTGCTCTTTTAGGTTAATACTATCCTAATCTCTTCTAACCTGGTTTTTCTCAGTGCCATAAGGGCACAAAACCCAGGAAAAGAAAGAAACAACACAAGAATTTCTTTTATAGACACCTGTTTTTTTTTTTTTTTTTTTTTAAATCAATAAGATAGGGCCTCTCTTTTTCAAACATGGGTGTTTTAATACTACAGATAGGACATTTGGGTGCTTGGATACAGAAAAGTACTTAAGCACATGCTTAAATGCTTTGCTGTGCTGTTTCAGTTTCAGCATGAAAATGCAGGGTCTTTGACAAGCTATGCAGATTCGAAAATTTGACCTAAGCCCCAGCACAGTCTCTCAGGTATACGCTGGTTTGCAATACATTTAGCTTTGACTGCAGTTCAGAATAAATGCTAAAAAAGAAAAGACAATACAGAAGATGAAGCACTGACACCCCTCCCCACCCCCGAGAAGGAACTGATCATCCTTTAGCGCGAACAGGGCTCAGTCCTGAAGCCCTTATTCACCCACAAGTGCTCCTAATTCATATGATATGATTAGGCCCATTGGCTTAAACATGGCTACTCTCATGAGTGAGACCTGGAGTATCAAGCTCTTTTTTGAGGGTGAAATCCTAGTCCCATTGATTTCAATGAGGCCAGAATTTTACCATGTAGATTTAAGATTTGCTCCAACCATGCCTGCCTTGGTGGCACCTACCTGGAGCTAAAACAAAGTATTCTTGTAGCCCAAAGTCACATAATTGAACCAGGTGGAAACATGGTGGAAATCAAGCATCCAGCAAATGTGAAGTGAATCCACAAGAATCAAAAAGAATTTGTTCACAAAGACAGGGAACAAATTAAACAAAAAAAAGAAGAAGCAAATATCTGTTTTCACATTGTACATAATAATGATATAAAAACAATTGTCTATTTTTTCTTCTTATCCAAACAGAGTGCTTAAAAAATTGGCTCTAGATGACTGGTGTAATTAAATAACTAAAATGAGGGATGAGAGAGCAGAAGTTAATTAAGATTGAAAACAACACTTCCATTAATTCACTCCATCATAATAAACATCAGAAGTTGACATGACTGGGGCCAAAATTAAAATGGAGAAATAAGAATGGGGTGAGCACAGGGAGAAATGAGTTTTTTATATGTCTATAAAAAAGCAGGATTGGGCAGCAGTTTTAAATATCTTAACAGCTTCATTTGCTGCACTGCCAAATCAGAACAGAATAAAATAAGGTAGAAAAAAGGGAAATAAATTATACATAATTTACTAATCTGGGAACAGCTGACCAGTATTATTATTATTATTATAATTACCATTACAACACTAGCAAGAGGAGGCAGTTCAAATGAAAAAAAAAAAAAGTCATCAAATACAAACAAAACCAAAAAACCCTCTGACATGGAGGATGTGATCAGCTACTCCAAGCGTAACCCCAGAGCAAGTCTTCTGAAAGTGAGAAAAATCGAAAAGAATTTTTGATGCAGAGGTGAAACTCAAACAGGGAAAAAATAAAGAAAAGGGAGGGAACAAAAAATGGCATGGGGAGGATGAAGCTATCACACATCCAAACCGCTCATTGGAGTAGTGTCCTAAATCTTAAATGGCATTTCTTTGTTGTTTTCTTTGCACAAGATCTTCAGAGGCAGCTTTACACTTGAAGTGGTAGGTCTTCCAGCAAAGTAAGGCCATGATCCTGCAGTTGGATCTGGGAGGATTGACTGCTGCAGTCTAAAATTTAACTGGCTTCAGGGTGTGTGTTCAGATTCAGGGACCTGAATCAACTAGTGAGCACTGTGGGCTGAACCCTGCAAATGCTAGTGCATATAGTCCTTGCTCACATGAGGAGTTCCAGTGATGCTGATGATGAGCATCTTCCTATGAGTAAGGACGAGGGATGTGAGCAAAGATCTGTAGGATGGCGTTCTGTGCTCACAAACTATGCTTCCTTCCAGTGGAAAGAAGTCCTATGCTATAGAGAAAAGCCAACAGCAGCTCTACCCTAGGAAGTACAATCAGAGGTATCCTTTTTGTTTTTGTGTTAGAAACACACTGCCTGCTGTCTTACTGCATGAAACTGGGTGTGCTCTTAGAGGTGGGTAAGAGTCAGGCACCAAAAAGAGGCTATGTATCACAAAGTTTACTTCCTTCTCTGAAACCAAGCAGAATGCTATATTTGTGCAACTCCACAGCCATCTAACCCTGGACAGAATTTAGCCCATTGTATTTTCAGTCTCAAATGTGCATGCCCATGTGTAACCAGGACAGGTGAGATGACTGAGGCAAAGAGATCTAGAACAACATTACAAATATCTGTTGTTATGCTTACAGGAATTTATTTTCCTGGTGTCCAACCCTCTTGGAACCTCAAAGACTCAGGATCTTGTGCACTATAAGTCAAATTCTGCTGCCCATTCTGGATGGGGAAATGCTTCTTTGTTATTTTGTTCTTTCTCCTTGCGCTAATATTCCACTGATGACTATGAGTGTTCCAAGTAGGTAGAGAGAGCAGAATCTCAGCCAAGATCTGTCTTATGGCTTAGAGATCAGCAGCCGTCCATTAAAACTGGACATTGGATTAATCCATTCTGGAGGTTAGTACTTCCAGTTTGCCTGCCCTGCGTTAAACAAGAGTATGGATCTGGTCATGTTTTAGGTTGCCATTTGAAGTGCAATTTTAAAAGCAAAGGCTCCTTACAAATCGAGTTGTTTGGAGGATGTGGGATTTCATCCTGAACATGGTTTTTGCTCACAATGGTCCAATATTATTTTTATTAGTACCATAAACACGCGCACACAAAAATCCAAGGTCATAAAATATTTTTCTCTAAATTTTCTTGTGTCTCTCTCTCTCTCTCTCTCTCTCTCTCTCACTTTCACCTGAGAACGGCACCTACAGTTTCCTTTAAAAAAAGAAAAGAAAAGAAAACAAAGTCTAATCTCACCAGCTGCTGGTATATCAGGTTCTTCAAGGGATTGTCTAAGACATAACACTGTCCTAACTTAAGACAGAACAGGAAACAAAAGAGACCAACCGAAAAATAAAATTGAAATAGTTCAGCGCTTTAGTACAAATTTGGCACTTGCTCAAAGACTCAGTGTGGTGTGCAATTGATGAAGAGAAGTCCTCTCTAGAAAGGAAATACTTGCTTGTTGAGATTTACAGAAACAGACTCCCCACTCCCTTTCCCACCATTTACCTCCAACCCTAAGTATTCAAAGGAGAAGGGAAAAGGAGGAGGAGGAGACGGCAGAAGGGTAAAAGGAATTTTATCTTTTTTTTTCCTGTCAGGTGCATTACCAAAAAAAAAAAAAAAAAATTACTTCTCTTTAAACTGTAGCACAAAACAACAAAACACATTCACAAGCCACTTGTTGGCACTGTGTACCTGAGTGAGAATTTCTAGAACATTGTAGAACAAACAGCCATAAAGTTTATTTGGAAAAAAAAAATAATAAAAGGTCGACGGGTAAGACTTCAGTGCTTGGGTATAGCAGCTGAATTACTGGCATTATTTTACCCATAGCTTATTTCATTCTTTTGTTGTTGTTGTTGTCATTGTCGTTTTCTTTCTTCTGGGCCTTTCTTTTTTTAAAATGCAGGCTGATGTCTATTAGTCAGCTGATGTCCCAACTAGTTAAGACTAACAGTTAAAGTAACAGTCAGTGTATGAGAAAGTTAATGTGCTTGGCCACTGGTAAGGATAAACCAGGTGGGGCTTTTTTTTTTTTTTTCCTTGAAGTCCTGTAAGGTCGCACTATATTTGGACCCTTATCAGTTGGCTTGCCCTGCAATGTGATTTTCACTGTCACTGCCATAGTCCACATCAGGGTCATCCTCTTCCTCGTCGTACTCATCGTAGATTTCTCCATTGATGTCATTGGCCTGTATCTCCTCTTTGATATGAGGCTCCTCACCTTTGATGCCGTAAGTGCTCTGGATGACTGGCATGCCGGGCTCTGGGCTGCTGGACACACTCGAGTGCTCTGATGGCAGAGGAGGGGGCTCCTGGGTAGACTACACCGGCGGTAGCGATAGGAATCTGTGCTTGTTGCCTGTTGTTGAAAAATAAAAAGGGCATTTAAATTACAAGCAGGAGCAAAGAGAGTGCTAGCAGCCTATCATTTTTTAGCTCGGTGGAGTGGGTCTTTCCAAGCTTTGAATCAGTAATTTGGCTCTGACACTTGAGCCTACAACTAATATTAGGCCTAAGGCCCCCAAACTTTGACCTGTATTGGACCACTGGTGGCAGGATGTTCGTCATCAGCTGTGTGCTTGTAGACAGCCCATTCACCCAGTAATAAACCTTGACTCTTAGGCAAGCTCCAAAGTTACAGTTGGAACCCACACACCTCTAATCTAGAGATGATTAAAAAAAGATCTTTCCCACCATTATCAAGAGTTGCAGAGTGCAAGTAGGGCTTAGAAACAAACAAACAGCAAGGCTTTGGTGGTGGGAGAGTGGGAAGTCCCTTAATGAGTCTGTTGGTGACATGGGGAAAAGAAACAGGCTATAGGCTAGGAATGTGGAGTTTATTTAAAAACCTGATGGCTTGAAGGGAGGGGCAAAAGGAACCTTCTGGGACTTATATTTGTAATTCCCAGGATCTCCATGCAACCTTGGAGGTGGCACATGCACTAGCCATAGGGAGGTGGGTGAGGAGAAGAGGGATCTTTTAGTGATAGGTATGGACAGCTCCCTGGAACGTTGAGGGATATTAGTTATCTGCCATGCCAGAAAAATCTGTTTTTATTATAAAAAAACATAGGTTTAAGTCTGGCTTTTATTAGTGAAAGAGAGTGACATGTGTAAGTTATATAAAAATCCTCTGCAGGACCTTTAAGCCTTGGAAACTAGGGATGTTAAGAGTTGGCTATTTAATTGAGTAGTCGATAGAATTTTTATTGACTACTCAATTAGCTGATAGGCAGCCCGGCTCAGTCCCAACTCATGCCAAGTGCAGGACCAAACCCCGCAGTGGCTCCGCAATTTAAAAGGCAGTAGGAGCCCCCTGGCTATTATTGCATTTTAAATTGCAGAGCTGCAGTGGGGTTTGGTCCTAGACTAGTGTGAGTAGGGACTGAGCCAGGCTGCCTGCCTGCCTGCCTAGTTGGCAGCAGCCCCTGCCATCCCCTCCACAGCCTATGATGAGGCTGTGTGTGTCGCGGGGGGAGGGGGGGAGGGAAGAGGGGGAACAGGTGGCACCATAGAGATGGTGCTGGCGGGAAACAGCTTTTATGCTGGCTTGCACCTGCTTTCCCCTCCTTGCTGCCTCTATCACAGAGGCAGGAAGGGGGGAGGGAATGTGAGTAGTTGACTAGTCAACTACTCCCTTCATCCCTATTGAAAACATAAGGCAATAAAAGCAGAATTATTTCAGGCTATCAAAATTCCTTTCTCTTGTAGCTATGTTGTACCAGTGTTTATTTCCCTGAGAATCTCCAAGGTCCCAACAAGCCTAGAGGTTTAATATTCATGCCCCTTTTGTCTCCTTGCTTCATGAAGTAATTCCATTGCAGTAATACCCTTCAGTACATGCTGCATATTGTAATGTCATCAGTGGTGTGTCCATCTGTACTGAAAAGCCTTGCCACGGGAGACACGGTGAAATCTCTTGAGCTGAACATTTTTAATTAAGAATGAAACCCTCCCCTATCCCTGAGCCTGACTGTGCACTGGCTGGCCAGTAAGCTGTGCTCAGCATAGAGATCCTGAAAGATTAAGCAGTCCCAAGCAGCTGAACGCTTATTTGGAAAGATTTGCCACATTTGTAACATGCTTGCTTTTTGCTGTCCTAGGGAAGCCTGCTTATTTACAATCATCACATCCTAATTTTTGAAATAATACAGTTGCCTCAAATAAATAAGGGCTTAGCCTTTGAATAAGGAGACCATACATTTTGGTTTTACTCTTAATTCAGACTTTCTAGCTGTAGAAATGCTAACTTTGACTTTCATTATTCAGTATTTTTGAATGGCTTTCCCTAGGTAACAGTAGGAACACGCTGAAACTTAACAAATGTTTGGCCTATGAAACATTTTAATGCAAAGTTCTTCTGTAATGTCGCTTACTTTTCTTAATGCATCAATGGCTATACAGAGCTTTGTGATTTTTGATGGAAGACGCTATAGAAGTGGGCGATATTTTTCTTCCATTAAGGATTGAAATTGGCCTCCTCATCTATAAAAGGGGGCTAAAACTGCTTTCTTTCTTGAAAACCTGTCTTGCCCTATAAAGTCCCAAGAAGCAATTACAGCAGCAATGGGCAACCCAGACTAGCATGTGGGCTGCACGATTGTCATAACCAGGATGCTTTCCAGGAATAGGGTAGTTTTGCTCACTGCGCTTGCATACCTGGAATTTGTAGGATGTGCCAACTAAACAGCACTTTGTGAGAGCTGTGTGCTTCCTCTGCACACAACATTGATTGACTGATTGGATGCAGTCAGCATGCACCTCACTTCCTGTGCCCTTGCTTTTTGTGTGTGTTACTTTAGGAATACCGGTAGGAAAAAACTATTCAGATGGAAACCAGCAAAATCTGCAAACCTGCACGTGGGCAACAGTAAACAAAATCTTCTGTGGGCCACACAGCCAGATAGGCTGCATGCACATAAGGGCTGTGTCTACATTGGCACCCCTTTCCGGAAAAGGGATGCTAATGAGACACTTCGGAATTGCAAATCCGCGGGGGATTTTTAAATCCCCTGCGGCATTTGCATTTACATGGCTGCCGCTTTTTTCCGGCTCGGGGTTTTGCCGGAGAAAAGCACCAGTGTAGATGCGATTTTCCGGAAAATAAGCCCTTTTCCGGAAGACCCCTTATTCCTACTTTCAAGGGAATAAGGGGTCTTCCGGAAAAGGGCTTATTTTCCGGAAAATCGCATCTACACTGGTGCTTTTCTCCGGCAAAACCCCGAGCCGGAAAAAAGCGGCAGCCATGTAAATGCAAATGCCGCAGGGGATTTAAAAATCCCCCGCGGATTTGCAATTCCGAAGTGTCTCATTAGCATCCCTTTTCCAGAAAGGGGTGCCAATGTAGACACAGCCAAGTTGTCCACTGAATTATAGTGACACTTACAATGGACTTTCAAAACTTTTTGAAAACTTGGCCACTTATTTTGGTGCTCAAATTGTTTAAAAATCTGCCCCTGATTCACTGCAAGTCATTTACAACCGAAGCCAAGCATAAAACCTGACTCCTAGGATCTAATACTGATTGAAGTCAATGGAAGATTTTACATTAACTCCAGTAGAACCTAGATTTCACCGTGTGACTCCCAGTCACTACTCTAAATTCTAGACAAGCTATCTCCAAAATGGTTTGTTTTCAGGTAGGGCACTTCTCAGACTCACTGGAAAGTTTACTTTTGTAACATTTTTAATAATATTATTTGTTTTAAAAATTGTTAAGCCATGCACGTCGGTGAGATAAGAAGTATTTTGGGGGGGCTCTGTTGCCACCTATTCTCAGAGAACTCCTTCCCCCTTCTTCTAATCTCTCGATGCTGGATGTTGGCTGACTTCCCTATGTTTGTTTCAGTGCTTACCAGTGGGATCACTGAACCTGCCAACACCACAGGGTTAAGCAGCTCAGCTTTCTCTGTTGAGCTGCTTATAATAACAATATACACTGTAGCTGTTCAAAACACTGTCTAAGGACACTTAACAGTAACTGGGCAGCTATTTCCCCTTTCATAGATATTCAGTCCCATTAACTAGAGACAGGTGACCTCATTCTGGTACAACAGGATGAGAAAGAAATGTTTTTTTTTAAAGGAAACAAGAGACCATACTCCAGCTTTTCTAAGGTTAGTTGATCAATTTTAAACAAACAAACGGGTTTTTTGTGTGTGTGTTTTTGTGTGTGTAGCTCCTGGACCAGATGCGGAGGAAATATCCTAAGAACATGTGTCCTTGGCCTATCAGTAGCCAAAACCAAAAAGTATTTGCAAAAAAAAAAGAGTCTTCTGGGCAGTTTTCTAGATCAAAAAGCAGAGAACTAACTGTGGACAAATATACAAACCTTTGGATGTCTCTCTGATGCCTATATCCTCACTGACCTTACTAGCAAGGCTCAAACATCCTCAGCCAGCTCATGCTGGTCACATGTGATGAGATTACTGCAGTCCAAGGACATTTGCGGTGCCAGAGAGTCTTTTGCTCGGTGCTAAGCTGAATACTAGTAAGGGGTTCATATCCCGAGAGGACCAGTTCAATCTGCCACGGGCTGTTTTCAAAAGTACTGCTGAGCAATCTTTTAGCTGATACCTCCTTGCCCAACTCCTTGAATGTGAGTTAGTGTTTCTGGCCTTGGGAGCTATAAACTTTGTGAACAGAGTAATTCAGATTCTGTAAACACCATAATGAATAACCGTTGGCACATATTTGGTGCATTTCATCTGACAACTTGGTCAAGTATCAGCTCTATATTATAGATGGGGAAACTGAAGCAGTTGGCCATACAGACATGACCTGAACTCAGGAGACCTCTTCATGGCTCTGCCATTTTAACTTTGGCCAATGCCTTCATATTATGTTAGTGTGATGCCAGGCCTTTAAGACCCTATGCTGGAATTCCTGAGGTCCTGCCAAACCCCATCCCAGTGAATGCTGGTGCTCTATGCCTGCCTGGAAGGTTGAAAAACTCCACGAGTAAAGAAGCCTGGGAGAGACCTTCACTCAAGCAGGGAAAGAAAGAGAGAGAGCCCTGAGATAAGGGTGAAGAGGAAGGGGTTATGTGTCAAGTGGCCCAGGGTTAGAGGAAACAGCACATGACTGCTATTTGCTCTGGGTCCTAACTTAGGGACCATACAGTGGGACAGCCTAGGTGCCCTTCTTTCCCCCATGACCACTGGAGAGGATAAGACTCGACATTCCTAGCCACTTGCATTAAAAGACCAAGAAAACAGGCCCACTGACAGACCGAAGAGCCGGAATGGGGCCAACCACTTGTGGAACTTAACTTTATGAATTACCCCCAGAAAGGGACTAAAGGAGTTACCTGGCTAAATAGCTGGGATACACGGAACTGCTGAGAACAAAGAGTCTCCACTGAAAAAGCTCTGGGCCACTGCTCTATAGCAGACTAGGGACAGACTTAATGCTTACCCAGATGGGACTGAGAACTGAGTCCAGAGACAGAGCTGCAGGTATTAATCAGGGCACCATGATAAGTCCTGCTGGACTTCTGGTACCCCCAAAGACATTTCTTTGTTCACATTGGCTGTGTCTACACTGGCATGAATTTCTGGAACTGCTTAAAACGGAATACTATTCCATTTTCAGTTTTTCCGGAAAAGGAGCATCTACATTGGCAGGCTGCTTTTCCGGAAAAGCGTCTGTGGCCAATGTAGACGCGCTTTTCCGGAAAAGAGCCCCGATCGCCATTTTCGCAATCGGGGCTTTTTTCTGGAAAAGACTACTGGGCTGTCTACACTGGCCCTTTTCCGGAACAGTGTTCCGGAATAAGGACTTATGCCCGAGCGGGAGCAGAATAGTTTTTCCGGAATAGCGGCTGATTTTGTACAGTAGAGCATCGTTGCTTTTCCGGAAATTCAAGGGCCAGTTTAGACAGCTCGCAGCTTATTCCGGAAAAGCAGCTGATTTTCCGGAATAAGTGGCCCAGTGTAGACACAGCCATTTTGTGTGTGACCTGGCTGGAGGGCTGGGCTGCTGAAGACCCACTTGGTGAGGGTTAGCAGCTGACAGGTGTGCCAAAAATAGAGAGAGAGTGAGTGCAAGTTCACACCGAGCTGACAAAAGGCGCTCACAAGTGAGAGTCCCCCTTTGCACTTAACATATTATTTACCTTGTGATAACATATGAAATTTACAGCTCTGAAACAAGGACAACCCCAGAGAAAAACAATTTCTACTGAAATAAAAAATATGACAGGCCCATACCCAACATTAAAATATTGCCTCATCTCTTGTCGCCTGTTGCGCATGATTGCTTTGTATTCGCCGATCCGCAGTTTTTTGCCATCCACAAGACAGGTGCGCTTCGGCCTGGGCTTGTATTTATAGTCTGGGTATTTCTCCAGATGTTGCTTGCTGAGTCGGGCCTGCTCCTCGTAGTATGGCTGCTTCTCTAGGTTTGTCATAGCTTTCCAGCGAGATCCTATCACAGAAGAAATGAGAAATGAGAACCCTGCCCATTTCCCATTCAGAGAAGGATGATTAAGCAGATCATTAAGAACAAAATACCATGGTCTGGGCTGTAAAACAGCGCTTTTAAAAAAAACTAGCTATGACACTACTTTTGTAGTTGGCTAGTAAACCTCCAGGGTACACCCATGTGATGCCGGTAACTTTGCATGTGCCATTCTTCCTTTTCTGAGTAATATTTTATAGACACCACTGCTACACATTGTATTTTAGAATGAGAGATAACTCCAAGATCCAGACCACAGTAACTATTAAAGATACCTGAAACTTTTTGTAAAAGTAGATTTCAAGTCACAATAGCAAAAGTTGGGCAAAGTTCCAATAAGCTCTTTAGATTCTAGTCCGCCTGTGTTTCTCTGTAATTTCATTTGGGCATGGTATTCATCATTTCCTGTTGTAAAGAGTGTAGTGCAACTGTATGCTATGAACTAGGTGCTGAATTCCACGCTGGGCTGGATTAAAACACAGGCACCTAAGGGTCAGGTTTACATCACAATCTAAGCTTTCACTTTTTAAAAAAAAGTATTTTTCTAACTCTTATGGTTGTAATGAAAAGCTTGAAAACATGAACTGAACCCACCCAATGTGCTGAATGCTGCCTGAGTCTTCAGAGAGACTAAAACAATAGCTCTGAGATACAGAGAGTCCCCTGTTAGGCAGGAGTTGGAAGAACTTCCCATGGCAGTGGGTTTTGGAGCTATTATCTAGTGCATCCCAGTGGGGTGTTGTGTGTAACAGGTTAACCAGGCCCACTGCTTTCTTCACCCAATACATACAAATACTAGTAGCTTTCAGAGCACTCCCTTGCTCCTGCCTTTGCCTCTATGGGGCCAGAATGGACACTTTCTTCTCCGCCATCCCACCTCACTACAGGAGTAGCAGCAATTCAAAGGCATGGCCCTATCTGGAAAGGAAATACCCTGCCATCACTGTACCATTGGGGTCAGGGCTGGGGGCGAGGGGGCAGTGGCACAGTGACTCTCATGTTGTGATGTGACTAGGGCTCTGCACTGCTTGATACAACTGATTCCGAGATGGGGAAGACAGGATTAGTTATTGTAAAGTACCAAGCTAATGTCCCGTTCTTTGGGGTAAAAGAACCTATTTAAGGAAGAGGCTTTCAACCCCTTTCAGGAGTCTGATTTATCTTTTGTACCCCCAAGTTACACTAGTTTTTAAATAACAGTGTGTGCTGTAACACTTAAAACTGTTTTTTATGTCTGATTGTGTAAGCAGGTAAAGTGAGATATAATGGTAAAAGTACTCAAATTAAAACTTCATACAATTTGTTTACACTACCTATATACTGACCTATAAGTAAAATATATTCCAGTTTCTCATTTTTACTATGTATTTTAGTTGTAAAATTAGGCAAATATCAAGCTGAATTGATGTATCTGAAGACCTCCGTGTACCCCTGCCAGTACATGCACCCCAGTTGAGAACTGCTGATAAAAGGTATTGTTAAAAGGAACCCGGAAGAGCAAAAGATAGTTCCCATGTGACAAATTTGCTGTTGGGGACAGAGAAATACAATGTTTTGATCATTGTATAAATTAAAATATTTTTTTCCATTATTCACCCAACCTTAACTTTTGCTCTGTTCTGCTGTGTATACTAATGACCTTCCCAATGAAGCAGGAATATGTAGTTTATGAATTTCATGAGTCCTTTTAAAATAAAGTGAAAAAATTAAACCAAAAACAAATAGATAATACCTGAAAAAAATCTGCAAGATACCCTAAATAAATTATTGAGTTTATGGAATCATTTTCAAAGGATGATTGCCTCAGGGCATGATCCATTTTAAGCAATGCTGATGGACCAAACTGTGAAATATTTTCCAAACATTTTTTCCTTCTGGGGCGTATGTTTCCAGTAGGAAAATGGACTAAGTCTGCATAATTTCTTAACATAATGGGTTCAGAATGTCATATTTGACTTACAGTACTTTCCTTCTTTGTTACTCATTCTGTACTTAGTTTTGGAAGCACAGTGAGCTAAGAACATTATGAGTAATAGCATGAGCTGTCTTTTGAATATAAAAAAGCACAGTTCTCTCTTGCTTAGGAAGAAAACAGTCTGAGTCCTTCAGGGAAGTGCCCTTGAGAAGACAGAGCCAAGTGGTTGAGACCTGTTTTCTTGATACTCACTTGGCTTTGTTGAAGTTTTATTCCAAACTCTAGTATGGGTTTCTGTAATGAAAGACTACCGGTAATAGGGCAGGTACAAAATACTGATCTTACCTCGCAGCTAGTAGTAACCGACTTAAGGAAAAAGAGGAGTCCATTGGCATCTTAGGGCTCATCTAGACTACAGGGAACGGTTGAAAGAAGATATGCAAATTCCCGCGGAATTTGTATATCTTATCTTCTGATCGCACTTTTGAAGTGAACCGCCGCTGAAAAACGACTTAATTTCTTTCACTTTCGAAAATGCGATTAGAAGTCCCCCAGAATTTGCATATCTTTGTAAGCAGGGGCTGAACTACTGCTTACTATCAGCCAGCTAAAAGGGGAGAGCTGCCCTGGAGGTGGGTGTGCTCACTCCAATTGTTTAGCTCTACAAGATAAATTAACTGTTAACTGTTGATATGTAAATACAGCTCATGCCAGGATGGGGAAGGAATCTGAGGTGGGGGTTATGTAAATTCAGCCAGGGCTGATGGAGGATCAGTGTTGGAATGGAATGTGGTGTATTGTAACTAATTTGGGCTGTTGTGGGGGCCACAAATCATGTTACCCCTAAATGTGGGAACTGTAAAACATGACACCAGTGCTTGCAGGAGAGACATCATCATTGTAAGAGTTCTCAGATGAAGAAGCCTCCCCTTTCCAGAATTGAGAGAACTGAGTTGGGGGGAAAAGGGGCTTGAGCCAGCCTGCTTCATTCCTGCCAGGTGTGAGCTGTAAGACTGGATCAACCTGCCTCTTTCCCCCTTATTTTAAGGATAGACCTAAAGCAGACTCCATTAGGAGTCTTTTTGCTGGTCCAGTGGGCACTGGAATCTTTTGCCAGCCTAGGTGGTAGCTAAAGAGTTGAAATCACTAAGAGCTGAAGTCACTGGTTTGGCCAGGAGCCAGATCCATTGCAGCCAGCGGAGCAGCTGGAGGGAACGACTGGCGGCTGGCCGGTAGGAGTGGCAGCAGGCAGCCAGCGGAACGGCTGGCGGGAGGCAGCTGGTAGGAACAGCAGCAGGCGGACCACAGGAGCAGCACAAAAGTGGCATGGCCTCAGGCTCAATGAGTGAAGTCATCAGGGTGATGTGTCACAGCTCTGTCCAGTCAGTGCAGACCCTATGTGGGGCGTTTGAAGAGGGGTATGGAGAAAGTTTGGGTAAGTGCATGGAACCCTTACATTGCTGGACTAGTGAACATGAAAGGCAAGAGACATTGCTCAATCCATTTGAGATGGGACGGTTACTCGTGAGGGAGTTATGAACTCTGTTTGTGGCATTTTCCCAAGTTAATGCCATGTGACTTCTCTCTCTCTCTCTCTCTTTCCTGAAAAGTTTCTTTTCTGCACTCAGACTCTGTGCTTGTGAGGGGGGAAGCATTGCCTCTCAGAGGCGCCCAGGGGTGTGTGAATTTCCCAGACTACTGCGTGGGGGCTCGAGCCGGTTCTGTGAGAGATGGATGAAAAGAGACCCCTAGATATTGAACCCAGCTCTAGCTGCTGCTGGCACTACCCAGCAGAAGGGTTACATCTTCTTTTGACCGTTCTCTGTAGTCTAGATGAGCTCTTAAAGACTAACAAATTTATTTCGGCATAAGCTTTTGTTGGATGGAAGCCAAAAATGTTTTTACTTTGACTCCACACTGAAGGGAGCAATGAAAACTCATTCCTTAATATGATTAGTCATGTACCCTTTTATCCCAAATATATAAAGGAGTAGGAGAGCAGTTTGTTGGTCTCCTGAAAAGTCATTTCCTAATAGTTGTAACCAGGAAAGTGACTGTAAAAATCACACTGAAGATCAATCTTTTGGAGTTCAAGATAGTGGGCCCAGTAACGACCCACTGAATTGAATGCTGAGGTTGCCCCGGTCGGCGCTGGTGAAGAGTAAGGGAAGCCAATGGGAGCATTTGCTCTTGTCGTCCTCCCGTTGTGGAAATGGCACCAAGCTTGGCTTAAGGAATGTTGACTCCAGCTATGTTATTTATGTAGCTGGAGGTGCGTACCTTAAGCTGACCTTCGGGTCTAGTATAGATTTGGCCTGAGATTCAATAGCTACTTTTCCCGTGGACTACCAGATCCTGATTAGGTTTATTACTATGTCTGCTAAACTAAGAACAGCCAGAACCTGGTCCACCATGAAGATGACTCAGGGGAAACCTGGGCAAGAATGCAGCTGGGGCCTAAAATTGTAGGTACCACACATTTGACAGTTAGGACTAGATCCTGAAAATAGGGTTCCAGGCTGCCAAGATGATGTGGATCCTTTTTCAGGATCTATTCCTTCTTCAGAATTCTGGCTTTTATAAAGTCTAAAGAAGTCACAAAGTAATAAGGCTAAAAGAATCTAGAACCCAGCCCTAAACACCATTTTAGCACTGACTGCTTTAAAAATAATAGCTTTGAACAGTTTACATTTGTACATCATAAAGCTGAAAATGTAGAAAGACTTTTTGCTTAAAGTATGTTAAGTTATCAGAGAAGTCTGAAATAGCCTGTGGTGCCTTCTCTTCCCCAATATTTATGTGAAAGCGTCTGCGTTTAGCAGTAAACATGCATGTGACAGAGAACTGAAGGGGTTAGGAAGGATGCATACAAATCTAACCTACAGATTGGCATTGACACTCGTAAGTAATGGTGATCATTTATACTTCTCTATCCCACATATCCTATAGTTACAAGTCTTTATCAATTTATTCCCGAACTGTAGGGTGGTGTTTTTCTATGATCTTTCTGTCAAGTCTTATTATGTACTTATATTCATTTATATACATACACACCATTATAGCAAACACAGTATAGAAAGCTGTCTTCTTAAAATCAGCCTTGTAAAATTGTTCTGTCCACATACAGAATTTATATAAACCATCTTTTACTGTTTTGACTGATGCCAGTAACTCCAGTTCTCCAATTGGATCGAGCAGACCTCTGTACATAGAGTTAAGCACATGCATACGTTTGTGTAGGCCCAGGGTCATAAGTGCCAACATTTTCATCAATACCTCAATTGGTAATATTTATACATAAATGTCATTCATTATTTTCCCCCTTGTAAATTGCAATCTCAATCACGCAAAAAATCCTGGCATCTTCCCTTCTCTTCCTAGCAAATATTTAATAGCTGCCTCCTGCAGTGATACCTCTTATTCCTATGACACTGTTTTTACAAAATATACTAAAGATCATTTACTAGTGTGGTTTGAAGTATCATAAATAATTAAAATTAAACTATGCTTGTCAAAATAAATAAAAAGCAGATTTTGTGACGAAGTAGCCTTTATTTTCTGTTTATCTTACTTATTAATATGCAGAATTTGGCAAGCTGCCGTGGGTCTCACCAGGAACTGTTCATATTCTAAATTGTGTCTGTCTAATACATGGATAAAGACTAAGACCCAGTTCCTGATGCCCTTGAGAGAGCTCATGAAGTGAGTGGGGGTATATGCAGATTCAGGGGTCTGCCTGCACAGGTTCCATAGCATGATCAAGGCTACAGTCATAGAAATCAACAGTAAAGTTAGGTAAGTCAGCATTTTGCTTGAATAGAATATTTTCATGATAGCTTTGCAAGGCTGATTTTATTTTATATGCTTATATAAATACCCATGCACATTATTGCCAATCCCAAGTAAACTGCAAAATTCAAGCACAGATCACAGTACAGAATCAGAATCTACATATATATAAAAAATACACACATCCATATATATACACACACATATGTGGTACTGCCTGCTCTGCCTGTAATTTATAGTTAACATGCTGTTTTCAGCTGCTTATATCTCTGCAAAACTTAAAATCAGCCTGAGGCAGACACCCAGGATCTAAAATTTCAGCCCAGATATTGAGGTTTTTTTGATTGATACAGCGTAGCGGCTTTCAACTTTTTTTTTTTTATATTTTGCAGACCCTTACAAAATTACAAATGAAGATGCTTTCAGATATGCAGACCTCAAATTGAAAACCATTGATATAGACACTTGCATTTGTGGAGTAGAGATTCGGGAGGTAATTTCCTATTTTACCTCTTAGATCTACAATATACATACACAGATTTTTTTATATATATATATATATACATATATATATATGGAATAATTTATTAAGATCTCTGTGAAGATTTAAGGGGATCCAGCAAAATAGTATATGACAATTTAATGAAAAACCTAATCATTTTCTACAACTTCAAGTAGCAGCGAACAGATGGTCAATTGTATGCACAGATGAATTTAGTGACAAATCCATGTATCTAATTTTTATGCCCAAAACATAATACCATAGTGTCAAACATAATCCTTAGAGAATTCTAGTGTAGCAAAGGGCACTCCTCTCATTTCACTATAAAAATGACCCCCGCTCAGTGGCAACCCTATCTAAGCCTCTCTCAGTAACTCCAGTGTGTAGCAGTGTTGCTTAAAACATATATAATAATTGTGACCTTTTCACAAAGAAACACGAACACCTGGCTGATCTGTACGTTTCTAGTTGTTCACCCTTCACCAGAGAGCTCCCTGCTGACTTCAAAAGGATTGGCCTTTTGCAACCGAGGAAAGACCTGTGTAACGTTTCTATCAAGGAAAAGGATATCAGGGCATCCCTCTCTATTGCAAGGGAGGAAAGTTAAAAAAAATTACATGTGATGCTGCAAAGAAAAAGAAACCACATCTCTAACCGCCTCCAAACATAGTTTTTTCCTCAATCTGGCAGCAAAACAGACAGCATAGCTGACTCCAAACTCTATCCTGTCACCTCTACAGGATCTGTAATGAATTTGCACATTTTACTACAACTACTGTACATCTAATCAGAAAAAGATGTCCCCATATCCCCCTGATCTAGTGCCAAACAGTAAAAGGTGATTCCTTATGTTAACAATTTCAGCAGAATGGCTTATTAAAACCAGATTTTAGGGTATTATAAAATGCTTAGAAGCCCTTTAAAATGTCAACCAGAATCCCCAGAGACTGTGTAAAATGTCAACCTAGCTCAAGCGCCTGTTTTAAGCAGAATGAATTAGCAGCGTGCTGTCGGAAGTTGTTATCCAAAACAATCAGTTAAGAGGGAAAACATCAAGCTCTCTTTGTACTTTATATATGAAAAAGGCCATTCAGAATGATCTTTGTAGATTTTTGAAGCTGATTAAAAGGCAGGTTTAATCAGGCCTACTCTAAATTCGGAGACAGACCAAAATTGGTTACTGCCTCTGTACCATAGTCTAAGCACATCTCATACCTGTAACCAGTACACATTTATCTTACTATCAGTTTAGCCGCCTTGTCCTATTCCTCTAACTAACCCTTGAGTAAAAAAAGGATGGCAGGAATTGATTAATGTTGTATCAGAACCAATATGTCTCCCTCTCAAATCAATTTAATTTTGTCTTTTAAGTCCACCCTGCTGCTCCCTCTGACCAGTCAAACCCCAGCACAGCCACCAGTCCTCTAACTAGTCAAACCTTTTAACATTGGCTATAATGGTAATTACATTTCTCGTGCTGTTTCAAAAAGACCTTACTCAGCCCTTGCCTGACAATCACTGAGCAAATTGAAGATGTTATGCTTTTAACTGATACAGAGTTGCACTGTATTATACACTTTTTTAATTTCTTTTAGAAACATATGATAGTAATTAATTGGCCTCTGTGAGGTTGGTCCATAATAGAAGTTAAGACTCCTAAATCACAAATTCAATCCCATTGGAATTCCTAAAACCTCTGCTCAGGTGTACCAAACCTAAAATTGCTCAGTAATTTGTCCTGTAAAAGTTACCTCAGTGCTGTGGTCTGCCTCTAAGCATGCATACTGTAGCCCCTGACAGGCAGAGGAATGTGTCTGTGTTCCCCTGATTCACAGGCATCCAGTTGTCAAATTCATCTGCAGGACCCGACCTGATAAATGGCCTCAGACCTCACATATCAGATTAGGCACCTATAGGCAAGGTCCTTGCTTTCTTGTCATTTTATTTAAGCTTTCCTATATCCCCGTTATTAGATACTCACCGGGGACTTGGGTGGAGGGGAGATTTGAACTGGACATCACCCAAGAGGCAAAAGGGATTGGAGCTGCTGGTGCCCTAATCACTGGGCTGTGGGGTAATCTGATTTAGGGGGCTCTCATGTTCAGTGACTTCACTGTGCATATGTAATTTTAAAAAGTTACTGGAGTAGGGAAACTGGATCCTGGGTCTCGCTCCTCCCTGGCAAGTACAAGGTGATTGTGCGTATGCACAAGCAGGAGACTTACTCTCTCTTGCTTTCATTATGTAGATTGCAACAGCTTCAACAGGAGAAACCGAGAAAGCCCAAGCTCTGGTTGGCCATAGCCTAGCACATGCACCTAAAAGGTGGTAGATGCCCAGTTTGAATCCCAGCTCTGCCTAAAGGGGAGAAGAGATTTGAACTAGCATCCTCCACGTTGCAGATGGGTATCCTAGCCACTGGGCTAAAAATTATGAGGGGAGCTCATCCAGTTCTGCCACCACCACAACACAGGCGATCCCCTGAGGCCCACATTTAGGTACCTCTCCGAGAAAGGGAAGGGTCTTAGCTTAGCCCCCCCCCCCCCCCTTGGCTTCCCATCTCCCATTGGCTAGTTTATGCAAGTAGTTGCTTAGCCTGCTGACTTCTGTGATGCTCATTCAATGTAAGATGGGCACCTCAGAATGTGAAAGCCCTCGAAGAAACATTAGTTCTGATGTTTCTTCTCTGATTATGTGAATCTTCTCAACATATACAGTATTACATGTCTGTCTCATGCAGTGGTCCCCAACCTTTTGAGGTTGTCGGGCGCCAGGGGGCGTGGCCGTTCGTCCGCTGGGCGCCAGAGGGCGGGGCGGGGCCGGGGCTCCCCCATAGCCGCGCGCCCGGGGCCAGCGCCTCCTCCAAGCGCCGCGCACCCAGAGCGTGGGCGGCCAATTCGCGGCGCTCCCGGGGCCGGCGCTCACCATGCACCATGCACCCGGGGCCAGGCCAGCCCCGAGCACTTGGCGGGGACCACTGGGGGACAGCGCAAGCGCCGCGCGCCCAGGGCCAGCACTCCCTCCCTCCCCCCGCAAGCGCCGCGCGCCCGGGGCCGACGCTCCCCGCAAGTGCCGCGCCATGTGCCCGGGGCCAGGCCAGCCCCGAGCACCTGGCGGGCACATGCAAATGCCCCTGTTGGAGACCACGGCTCTAATGCATGGTCTATTTACCAAGGTATGATAGAATATCATAAGGTCAATTGGTCAAAAGAACTGGCAGCATTCTAAGGCCATATTTTAGGGTACCAAAAATGTAACAAACTCATTTCCTCGAGCCACTGAATAATCTGGGGATAACTATTTATTTTTTGGTTAATTCTTGGGTAGGCCAATGTCTTCCTGCCAAAAACCACTACCACAACAGGCAAGCTTGGGGCCCAGGGCTGTCTAGCTCCTGGCTGATGCATATTGTCAGGCAGTATGGTGAATCTTGTATTGCTGCTATCAGCAGAGGGTCTATGAACTATCAGTCAGGAACTACAATTTATTTAAAATATATAGCCCAAACCAAGGAATTCTGCTATGGAAAGTGCAGTAATCTATTAATTTCCTTACCCAGTATCTTGCTAATGTTGGAGTTGTGCATGTCAGGGAAGGCTTGAAGGATCTTCCTTCGCTCATCTTTAGCCCACACCATGAAGGCATTCATTGGACGCTTGATATGGGGTTCATTACTTCCACGCCCTCTGGATTCCCGATAAATTCTAGATTCTGACACACCTGCACTTCCTAAAATAGGGGGGGGAAAATCATATGTTTATTGAATGTGCCCAGTGACACAGGTAACTAATAAAAATATAATACACCTGAATGATTTAAGTCAAAGATATGGTGACTAGCTTGAACATACCCAATTTGCTAAGTCTTAGGTTATGGTATAAATCTGATCTATTATTCTTTACCAATATAATTCACAACCACGTCCATTTTTTCAGATAAAGACTGTAAAGATCATTTAACTTTCTTTTACTGCTAATAACCTAAAACAAAAGAATATAGGTTTGTTTGGGTTTTTTTCCAATTTACAATATGTTGAATGTATTTATATTACCTGTTTCCTTCCTCCTTTGTGATGAAAAGGTGTTAATATATAGCAACATCAGGTGGGGCTTTTTTAAGTGATTCTCTAACTAGCAAATGAACATTTGCACAGCTGCCTTTGTTATTGTGGAGGTGTAAGCACAAGCAGAGATAGAAAAAAAGAGCATTAAGCTTGCTTCATCAAATCCAAACAAGCTCCCACAGACCTAGCATATGCATCATCTATAGATGATCAGCTGTATGAGATCATGCAGAGACCATGAATTAGTTATCTCACATTAATTTATTTCTTTTTCTTCATCTTTACAGTCATAATTGTCAAGACTGGACCAAGAACATAAATGGAGTGTATGACAGAGAAAGACAAAATTGCTCTTGGACCTAAAACATTATTATATAAATAATTTATTCTTCTTTGTTTAGTGGCCACTTCTCACTTATCCTACTCCTTATTTCCCCTCCCCCAAAAGAAATTTGTGTTCTACACATACATAACTAGAAATAAGGATAAATAATTCCTACTGACCATCAGAATCACCACTCATGTTGAAATCCATCATAGCATGGCTAAACTTCCCATCTTCATTCTGTTTTACTGCCAGCTGTTGAGTCAGGCTCTCCAGTGTTGTTTTGTCCTGTATGGGGAAGATGACTAGACTTGGATCAGAAATTCTAAATTACATATGAACTTTGCAGTTGGAAGAACTGGGAGGGGTGGGAATAAAAAAACTTTTAAATACTTTGCCCACTAAACTTTTAAACACACACGAATCATACCAGTCCCAGAAAAAAACCATTTAAGAATCTAAAATGTGGCTCATTAGGTAGTGATGGGTAGACCTCATAAGTTATAAAATGGAATAGTAAAGTTTGGTTCAATTAAGCACCCATTAATTTGGAGGCACAGTGATGCATATTTGACCTCTCTATACCCCTGAGTCATCATAATTGGATTGGAATTTGAGAAGTTGCAGGCAAGCTACAGCTCCATTTCTCCTCCCTGCCTAAACTCAGAATACAGAGATAATTCTCTTAGTATTATCATATGACTACCATATTTCTCTTAGTAATAAAAACTATTTTTTGTGGAAGCAATCTATTTACACTTAGCAAGGATTGACACTGCTGCTATTGATGCAGTGGGGGTTGATTTAGTGGGTCTAGTGAAGACCCAATAAGTCAACTGCAGAGCAGTCGCCGATCAACTTCAATATTTCACTGGAATGAAAAGAATAAGGTGAATTGATGGGAGAGTGTCTTCCGTTGATGCTGCATGGTGTAGACACCACTGTATGTTGACCTAAGCTACGATGCCTCCAGTTACATTATTCATGTTATTGGAGACACTCTCCCATCACTCCATCGGTAGAATAAACAAGGCCTAAATTTATAGTTTTTCATGTCCCAGGAAAAACTCAGTTTTGAGTCAGTCTGAGATTTGGGCAGTGGTAGGTGTTCTCAGATTGTTGTGACAGACACTGGGCAGAACATTCTAGATAAGACATGGGAAAAAGGGGGTCCTTGGGTTGGAACAAGATAGTATATGCTGCCAATTAGATATTATACCCTGAGCGATATCTTTAACAACATCGCCAGCACTATATCCCAAGGCAGATAATTTCAAGATTCTAAACATCCCCTCCATTTTCTGAATTGCTTAAATCTACTAATGCAGATAAGTTCCATTTTTTCACCTATCTTCTGTTTCTACTGTTCTGCATATATATGCTATTTTCCTGGCAATAGTATCTGTAAGAATATTTTTTTTCTTGGAAAACAATACTACGTTTTCCAAATGTAGACAGTTTTCTTTTTTTCAAAGCTAACAAATTTGATACCATGCCATTTTAAGTGACTCTGAAAAAAAAATCCTTTTGAGCTTTCTCTTGATGTATGTTCTATTCTTGGTGACTGTCAGATTTCAACAAAGCCCAACATCAGGTCATCTGGGACTCTAGCATGATTATATGTAGCCTAAAAATTTGTCATACTATAGAAGAAAGCGGGAAAGAAGAAAAGAAACCCTTATACTGCAAGGTGATTCATAAATGTAAATCTTGGTTGAACCCTAGATCAAACTCATGTGGCTTGCATTTGACAAGGCTTTTCTTAATATTACATAAACCACACTCTGCTTTGAACACCCCAAAGCTTTAAGGCTCATCTCTAAATTTTGTGTTAACTACTTTCTCTTCCCTGGTGTCTTCCATCTTGGCTCACCTCTGCACTTCTGGATTCTGGCTGCAACTGGATGCATTACTGCCAAAACAACTCAAGACAGACTGTTCTTGTGGTATTTCCAGTCCAACAAGAGACAGCAGGGCCAGACTACCACAAGTGAGAAAGTGTTTGTCTGAATCTGATGTGAATGGAAATGTCACAGTTTGGAGAAGCTTCAAATAATCACCCAAGCTTTTCAGGTGTGTAACAGAACCAAACTACTTACCCTTAACAAACTCCAGCTCCACCACAATATGGGAGTATTCAGAGGGAAAGTCAGTAATGCGTTTACTTTCTTTTCCCTCCAATGAGTCACAGATTGATAAAGCAAGTCAATGGTTTTCTCAAGAAACAATTTACCATCAACTTCCCTAGACCATAATGAGATACTCCAAATCTATTAAAGGCAGAAGCCTTTTTTTAAAAAGTCACCGTCGGCCTAAAGTATCAAAAACTTTCACTGTGTTTTGATATTTGGATACATGGTGGGATTTAAAAAAAAATTCTTTTAGAAAATAAAACATAATAAAATCAGCTCCTAGAGCTGTATTCACTACATCAAGAAAACAAAGGGACAGCTTCATGCACAACCACATTCCACCAACATGATATGATTCCACCTGAAAGTCACAGAATAGTCTGCCATGCCAGCTATAAAGTATACAGCGGGTATGGTGTTATCGGGGTTTGACTGAACAAGTCTGCAGATACACAGAAGATGTCCATCTTGCAAGTGCCTGGCATTTTGAGGTTCAGACACATTAGATGAAGTGTGTGAATGGTCAATGGAGCGTAGGAGGGAAGAACAGAAGAATGCTAAATTCCTGAGAGGCACTGTTCAGCCATGTGGCTTTGAGCTGACTCATCAGAAGGCTCAACAGTGCAAGTGATCCAAGGGAAGTCCAGACTACATTTCAGCATCAAGGTAATCCCTAACCTCCTGCTACTAACAACATGAAGTGTAATAAGATAATTCCATTAGTAACTATAAAGTGGAAGTTGAGCTAATTCTCACAGGATGTCACTCAGAAACAGATGATAGCAAAACAGCAAGCTGCATTTTTGTCATGCCCCTTTGTGCCATGACTTACGCTAA